GGTTCAAGCTGTTTACTGATGGTTTGTGCTCCATCACACAGACAAATTCAAGGATAAAAGGAGAGGTAAGCAAGGAGAATCTCTATATGCGAAGGCATCCAGGAAGGAGGGGAGGGGAGAGGATGGGGCATGGGCAGGTGGCTGATCTTGATCACAGTCCAAACTAGTAGGTGTTTATGAAAACATCTGATTTAAAAACATGCAATCGGTATTTGGTGCTACTATTGTGAGGATCAGTTAAGTCATTTTATTACTTATGTATTAGTAATAAAATTCATACTGAGGATCACCTGTCTCTCAACAGACATACCAAGAATGGTGGTCCGGTCCTTTCAAACGTGAGAGCTCAAGAAGTTTGGCAAGTTGGTGTTGCCTGCTCTCCCTGGCATGTCTGCTCTATCAGCTCTGTTACGCAGGTTGGTTGGTTGGCCACACTGCCCTGCTGGGTGTGTATCTTCTAGTGTTGAAGTTCAGATCAGGACTGTACTTCTGAAGTAAATCTCCCAATTTTCTCCACTTACCATGCTTTGTCCCTGAATGGTTTCTCCTGGTCAGTAAAAGGCTTTCAGCACAAGACCAGACTCTGAATTAAAGTACGTGAAACAGGTATAGTGTGGCAACTGCATCCTTAACACCAACGTTTTGATTCTTAGTTTCACTGCTCTTGGTTTGCCTTGCTAATGTAGGCATCATCACTGAAAGCCTATTCCAGAACATCACTCTACTGCCTAGAAACTCTTCTCGTTCCTAGCCTGTATTTTATTCTGGCCTGTTCATACCAATTTGCTCTTGTGTCAACTTTTTGTCAACGCTAAACATTTTTTTGCCAGTCTTTCCTGCCATGGTGCCAGCCAGATATGCTTTATGAAGGGTGGCAACAAAGGCTACTACTAAAGGTTCACAATAATTCAGTGGTGTGCTCCTCTCCAAAAGAGTGCTTAAACATATGGTCACCATATGGATTTTTAAATATATCTGTGTAGTGCCACTTCCACTCCCTCCACCCCCTCACCTTTTTGCTACCAATTGCAAAATATTGCCTGGTAAAGAACCTTTGTGTGGCTCCTGCATTCAGGGAAGAGTGAAGGAATGACTCTTGTTGAGCTTTCTGGCCAATAATGTGCTGATTGCAGCCTGTAAGGATTATACACCCAGCTGGGAAGGTAGTAGCTATGTTGATATGGCTGGGGTAGAGCCCATGATTAACAACGAGCACATAAACAAGAGGAAGAATGCGAAATCTTAGATGTCAAGTACAACTTGTTCTTCCTGCCAACAGTTCAATGGTGGCCTGTTATGCCCAGGCATATGTATCTCTGAAGTCACTCACAGTTGTCCAGGCCTTTGTCCCTGGGAACTACTGCGTGACAACTGATATATCCTTCATGCCAGCTCAGGGTACTTTTTTGACAGCCTTATCCTAATATCTACAGATATTAGTGGTTTAACAGAGCACCTACTTCAGATGCGGGTGTGGAGTGGCTTGCTGCTTGGATGTTTCAGTGGGGCTTGGCTGGCTAGGAGCCCGTCCTTGAGCAGGAGGTCTAGGCTGCTGTGGAGGGAACATGCCTGCCTTGGAAGTCTGGACTGGAGAGGACCCAGTTGCTGATCGAACTTGCTGTGGAGATCCAGGTGACCTTTGCTGCTGGGGTGAAGTGGACTGGGGACTCTGGGGCTGCTGTCCTTGAGGAGAGAGCCGCTGCTGTGGTGGCGCATTTGTCCGTGGAGGCTGAGATCCCTGGGGCTGGCGTGGTCCACCTGAAAGGGACATGTAGACAGACATGAGAAGTGCATGTGGCGGACAACAAGCAAGGAAGATCTATGTGGGAGAATGGGTTTTGCTAAGGGGAGAGACTGAATATTCAGAGTAGTTTTATGCAGAAGAATAAAGGAAAACCTCTTTTATAGGCCTAACACTGGTGACATGTCCACATCTCTAGACTTGTCCATATCTCTACCTCCTTCATCACTAAAGCAGCTCTGCCAGTCTCCCCAAAGGGAGTCACTTCAACGTGCTTTACGCTGCCATGTAAATAATATTTCTTATCCTTGACAAGCCCTTCCTTCACTGGGAAGGAAGAGTCACTGGAGAACCAACCCTCTGCAGGAAACGAAAGCTGAATCTGCTGATTTGGGTCAGCAGTCCCTTCATGGGCCCAGCAGTTTGATGTGAGACTGTGCACCCTGTTGCTATACATACATGTATTCTAGTGTTATCAGCAGGTGGCTTCAGCAGTGTTGGTAGCAGGCACTCAAAATTGAAGAGGATGTGGAATGAGAAATTGCTGGATGTGATAGATAACAGTGTGAGAAGCTGACCAGACAGCATTGTAAGGATTTCACAGGTGGTCAAGGGGGAGTTACGTGAGGAAAAATTTCACAGAGAATTGAAGGGCAGTACTGGAGACAGATGGGGAAGTAGTATCCTGCAAGGCCAGCGATTCCTAGGTCATCATATCAGTAGTAGCATGTAACGCCAAGATTACATAGATATCTTTGGTATCAGAAATACCAGATTTTGGATACAGCAAAGCTGTGACCGATTGGAGGTGGGTGTTAATCTGGTAGGAGATTGGGGTGGAGAAAGGAAAGGACAAAGGTGGCAAAAAGGAGGGTCTAATTGGATATGTGCATTGAGTGGTTGGTGTGGTCTGGGTACCCATAGGGCAGTCCACTGCTTCATCATCTCAGCGTACATCAGGACAATAAGCCAAATCTGTTGTTCTGACCAACCACAGAAGTCAAACCTGCTTTTGCTCTCAGGAGGAGCTGGGAGTGTGCTCTTGTTGACAGGGGAACACCTGGACAGATGGATCAAGTATCCTGGCATCACCACGTTGCTGTCTGTTCCAAGCCTGACAGCACCAGCATCTTCCCATCTTGTAGTCACTATAGCTTTGTGCAAATGCAAATACAGTCTGTGCCCAGAACCTTGCTCCAGTGCCAGTTCAAGTGGCCTCACTTTCCTGAGCCAAATCCTCCCAGCAGTGTCAACTGGATCTGTATCAAAGTTTTCACCCCACTTTCTGAGCTGCTGTGGCATGTGACAGCAGCTGCTTTAACAGCACACTGAATTTGCTGCCTGCTTGTCACTGAATTGGAAAAATGGGTGAAACCTTTGTCCTGATGTCTTTTAATTAGAAGGAAATCTGTCCACACTGTCATGGAGCCCAAAGAACTGTACCTTGGGGAGGAGGCCGTGGTTGGGACAGTTGTCCAAGCTGAGGTCCTGTCTGAGATTTCATTGACACAGGCTGAACTTGTGGAGGCTAGAGGGGAAAAAAAATAACCACCGTTCCAATTAATACAGAGTCCCCAAAGAGAAGCCCTGAGGTAATACAGGAACTGCGGAGTCATGAAGTGTTCCTTAAATGCACACACACACATGCAGCGCATCTGGCTGGTAAAATCGCATGGGACTAAAATGGAGAGCTGAGTAATAAAGAGCACAGAAGTTGTTTGCTCACAGGGAATAACAATGAAGTTACAGTTTAGAATGTTTTTTAGGCAATCAGGAATTACCAAACGTATCAGGCCTGAGGGGGTCTCTTAGTCCCTTTTCCCATTTTGGACAGTTGCCAGCACCAGATGTTCCAAAGGAAGGAGGGATGAACCATGGAAACATGTATGCAGTAATCATCTCTTTACCCTAAGGGGTCTCCTCTTGATTGCTAATAAGCAGGGCCCAGCTTTTACCCTGAAACATGAAGCTTATTATGTGCTCCACAAAATCTTTGCTACAGTTCCAGATTATTTTGTTTTGATATTTATACCCAGACCCTTTCAGTCTTGCTCAGCTCTCAGCCTCACTGCCTTTCCCATTTCTTAACTCCATTGCTTTGTTTTGAGTTTTGAGAATAGTTCTCACAACCTGCCCTTGCTAGGACATTCATTATTTTGCAAACATTTACTTCCCTCTCTCATTCACCTCCTTTCTAAAGCCAAGAGACTGAATTCCCTCCGGTCCCTCCATGGGAATGTTTCCAGGTCCCTAATAGTTTTCATCACCCGCTTCCCTTCCTCAGCTTTGTGATTCCTTCCGCAGATGCCAGAGGCAGGTCTGCTTACATTATTCCAGATGCAGCAGTATCGGGGTTCTCTGTATACATCACCAGCTCATTTCTCCTGCATCCTAATTTCCTGCTTCTCCCTTATCAACACAACCATAGACTGAGCAGTGGTTTTCATTAGCCTGTTTGCGACAAAGTCTTTCTCAAGGGACACGGGTAGTGCCATTTGCAAGGTCTACAGATTATGTTCTTCCTCTCTCTATCCCCAGATTGGCTTACCTTTCATTCTTCTGTATGGAGTTTTCATTTGCTGTTGTGGTGACTTAATATACATAGCTCTGTCAGATGTTCTTCATTGCCATCCCTGGTCCTGACTAATGCAAATAAGCTGGTGCCATCTGCACTTTCTTCTCTCTCAGCTTTTAGTTTTTGACAGATATTTTAATAAACAGATTAAGCAACACAGAACTTTTGCACAGAGGGCCGGTCCAAGGTTAACAAAAGTCTCAGTAAGCCTATTGCACAAAATTGTTTATGAAAGCGGGGAACGATGGAGACAGATAGGCTGGTACGTGCCGGATTATTTACATGGAGAACATAATGATAAAAGGGTCTTTAAGGCTCCTGGAAGGTCAGGAGAATGAGCTAAGTGATTCTGGAAACAGAAAGAAATGTTTCATAGCTGGAAGAATTGAAATGAGTTTCAGCTGACTAACATAACTGTGATGAGGTTGCCAGCCTATCTTTTACATTATTTATCTGGGACTTGCAAATGGACGGGGAAGAAAATCAGGGAATTTTCCATTCATGACTTCTAGTCCTGCATAGCTTGGGATACTAAACCTTGCCTTGGTGTTGGTGGAAATTTACTGTCCTAATGCTGTGAGACATCCTGATTAGACCAGCCAAAGAAGGGGAATCAGATCTCATATTCACCTCTATGGCCTTTGCCTACAGCCAGCCAAGGCTTCTCAGAGATGAAGGCAAAACAAGATTTTGAGGCTCAGAGATGAAGATGTGAGGACCAGCCCAAGGTCTTCTGCCTTTGGAAGGGAAACAGTGAGGGGAAAGGATGGAGGTAGGGCAGAGAGGCAAGGGGAGAACAGCAGCTGTAACCATGAAACCAGGTTTCATGTTGTAGGCATGAAAACAAGTTTGTCTAACATCTTATCCTGTCCTGGGCTCAACCAACCCAATTATCAACATGACCAGGCTTAGTATCCTTTAAGTACCCCCCTGCTAACTGTTTGCAAGAATTAAAATCTCTTGTGTTTATGTCTTTATCTGATGCCAGCTTCTGCTCCACAGTGAAACTTTGCCTTTTAGCCCCTCCCTGCTCGCTTTCTTTAATAGCTCTTGTCTGTTGCTTTGTCTAAGGCTTTTTGACAGTCTAGCTACCTTATTTTGACTGATTGCCTGTTTTCCTCCACTTTATGAAAGAATTCTCAAAGAAATGAGGAGAAAATAATCAAAAGGAAATTAATGGGACATTTCTATTCACAAAAAAAATAATGTGGTGGATGCTCTTAAGCTGTGGTTCTGTTGGTTTATTAGTCTTCTGTATCACTGAGATAAATTGTAAGGTCCATAACTTGTCTACATTTTTCTACATTACTCTTACAACACATATTTTGTATTTGTTGTACACCAATCCTCTGGAGCAATAACTTTTTCTAATGAAATTACACATTTTTTTCTTGGCAGCTTAGTCACTTCCTAAATTCAGTTCATTGGATGTAGTCATCTGGGTCTGGGGGCTTTATAGTTAAAAAAAAAAGTCAGTCATCACTGATTTAATCACTGGTTTTGTTCTCTTCCCTGTCTTTCTGATCAGGAAAAACTATATCTAGTTTAAGAAGTTCCCCACTTTCAGCGATTAAATTTACTAGAGTCACAACACTGACCCTGTTCTCTTCCTTTTCTCCCTTAAATTTGGATGATCCATAGAGCCCACTAATTCTTTGGTAGGGTTCCATCTTCTGATGAACTCAAAGAATTTTTTTTTCATTCTTCCCTCTATCTGGTCTTCAAAATCAATTTCTATCCTCTTTACATTTTCTTTTATTACTTGCATGATGGTGCATAAAGGTTGTCTTAAATGTCAGATTTCCAAATTTGGAAGATTTTTTTTTTTCCTGTTTGTCTTGAATGTCTTCTATCACTTTGCCACTTAACTCTAGAAGTTTATTTCTTGCATTCCTGATTCAGGGGCAGATCAGAAATGTATATATGCATTCTGGAAAACAGTGGTGTCTCAAATTGTGTCCATACAATTTTACTTTTAATGCTAGGGAGTTGATTAATTTTCTCATTTTATTAAAATAATCTTTTCTAACTGCTTCTGTCATACCCTTACTCTTTGATATCACATCTGTCCCTTAGACATCAAACCTAACGGTACATATTCACTTTCTGAATTTGTACCTATGTGTTTCTTAAGGGTAGGTCAAGGTGGTGTTTCCTATTGGATTTTGCAGTTCCAGGAAGTAGGCACCTACAGAAATGGAGAACTCTGAATTGCTGTCCCACTTTGCTGTTTGACTTGCTTCTTGATAGCTATAGTCTCACATTATTATGACTTGTTGCTTCTTCCATCTCTGTTAATGCTGTGCGCTCAGTTTCATAATTTCTCGGTTTTCTTGATCCAGAGACTAGCATAGACAGCTCCAATAATATGTATAGCTATTTTACACATACCCATAGGATATCCAAGGGTTCATATTTCTATGTATTCAGTACTGATGTCCTTGAATTGTTATTTTTCTTACTTCTATGGAAGTCTTCACCTGTAGCTCTAGTTCTGCATCTCACCAGCCTCACATGTAATTACTTCTGTCTGCACATTTGTAACTCTGTGTTATAGCATTATGCTAGTAACTGTAGCTTGTGCAGTTTCTGCAATGTTGGCTGTCCCAAGATCTTTCTCTATAGCAAAACACTAGTTAACATGCCTGTGGTTTTAATTTTCTTGTTTTTGTATGCAGATATTTGTAGGTTGTATTCTTGATGAAGACCCTTTTCTTATTTAACTCTTCCATTTGACATCCTATCCCTCCAAGACCATTTGTTTTGTTCTTATTTTGGCCCTATTCTAGGTCTGTTGTAATCCAATCCAATCCTGTACCAATATATTACAGACATAGAAAACAGATGCATCTGTCCATGTTTCTGTTGGCTTCCCCTTTGCTCATAGTTTATACACTGTGTATCTTGGGTATTTCAGATGGCAGTTGTTGACTCCACTTTGGCCAGAGTAAATCCTACCCTTTCTGTATCACTTTTCCTGCCTCAAAGCATTTTTAGTGTCAATTAAATGTTTACCCCCTCATTCTAGCTAAAACTTGGTTTGGAGTTACCCTGAATACCCTTCATGCTAGGGACCTGGTTTAGCAGGAGTAGGCTGTCATATGACAAAAGCAAAGAGCCATAAAGTGCTTTCTACCATTTATTGTCTCACGTGGGAATGGAAACTGTTCCAGTGTGTTGCAGTCAGTATTATCCCTCAGCCTGTTTACTCTCCTGTCCTTTCTTTTGTACAGATTTGTTGTCCTCAAACCTTCGTGCTTGGCTCCCTGCTAGATACTGAAAGCGGTGTAACACATACACCTGGAGACACAGATTATGTTCTGATGTGTTTCATTTATACAGAACTGCCACTGGGAAATGCAGCACTAAGATTAGATGCACTTGATGATACTCAAAATGAATGTACATGAGAAGCACTAAGGGGTCAGTGTAAATGCAAAAATGTCAGGTTCTGATACGAATTCAGCATTAGTCAAGCCTCCTCCTGATGAAGGGGGTGAAGAAAGAAAAAAGGCTGCAGTAAGGAATGGAACAACTTTTGGTGGAGATTCCCACTTTCCATTCTGGGAAGCACAGATTTTCATCAGGGATGCAAAAACTGGAATGAAACCTATCCTGAGGGATAGTGTTAGACGGAGATGAAGTTAGACCTTACAAGAACCTCTAAAAATTTCTGTCTTCAGTATGAATCTATGAATTTAGCAAGCCAGAATGTCTAGAGGCATGGACCACACTACTGGTGTGATATCACAGTGATATGGAAGGAGAGGAAGGGAGACAGGTGTTTCTTAGGGGCACCTACTTCAGAGAGTCTATGAGAGACTTTGGAAGAGCAGGAGTCGGTCTATCCAAGACACTCCATACGGGACTGTTCAACTCTCTAAGATGTCTGACTGCCTGAGACCCACAGGGAGGAGAGAGAGAGAGAGAGGGAGAAAAAGGTTCAGGAAAACAACTTGGTGATAAGGTCTCTATTCACTCATACCCAAGGCCTCAGCGGTGATGGTGTAGATCCAGCAGTGACGACAAGCTGAGTCATTTTGGAAACAACCAGATCAGCTATAAGCTGTCTGTCCTCTTCCACATGCTCCCCAATCAGGGGCATTGAGCTGTCCATCACCTGCCAAAGGAGGGAAAAACAACAGTTAACAAGGAGGTTTCCTGGTGGCAGATGTCTGTTTCAACTCACCTCTCACATTAACCTGTTTTGTGTCTCCACAGCCTTGCCAACACCCATAGTCACCACTCCCCTCCATGCTGAAGCATGCTTGACTTGCCTAGGCATGGGGTTTTGCTTTGTTTTTTCTGGAAATGGGATGTACTTTCCCCCATTCCCCATCTTCCTTCCCTTCACAACTTGGAAGCCAAACCAAGACTTCTGGTGGCTTGGAGGCTTTTTAAATCAACTAAACACAGATTTTCTTCTTCATGTGTCCTGAGGAGATGCCTCTGATGGATGAGGTCTTTCTGGCATTGTCCCACAGTATTTGGGGGTGACATTGCAGCAGAAAGGGCCACAGGAGAAGGGAAACAACATGTACTGAAGCCTGAGGAGATGAAAGCAACAGGGACTGGAGGAAACCAGGAAACATTTGGGATTAATCAACACAAAGCACTGCAACCTGAGAGGGGACACAAATACCACAGATGTCTAATGAATAGGATGTCACCAAAACAACAGCATCCAGTGCAGGAAAGTAAACTTATTCTCTGCTTGTCGTCTTGATATTGTTGCGATATGGCCGCTTCTGAAGCAAGAACTGCAACTGTGCTGGGGAAAGCTGGGAAGCAAGACTGTGGGGATGGGGGAAGGAGAGCTGTCAAAGGGTCTTTGAGGTAAGAAATGGTCTGACAACAATAATAATGACAGCACAGCAGACTCTCAGCTGTATAGCAGCCCTAAACATAATTTTCAACAGTTCATCATAAATCAAGTTCTTTGCAAACACTAGCTAAATCCCACAGGAAGAACTGCACTATGATGAAGTTAAGATTCAACTGGAGTATATATAATTGTACCAAAATATCGGGGTTGGAAGAGTTTATTTTATTTTGTTTTTATTTTTAAAGCAAACATTAAAACCCTTGGAAATGCAGAGTTAAAGGTTGCATTGCTCAAGAAAGGCACTGACTCACGCTCAGATAACAATCGGAAGTGCACTCCACCCTGGCAAGGCTGCAAGAGTCCACTCTTGGCATGAAATGGAAAGTTTTGTATCCTTTTTTTTAAGCTTTAAAGTAGGGGAAATCAGTGAGGTGAGCTCACTGAGTTTGTATCCTAGTCCTTTCTTGCAGAGTATTAATTTGGATTAATTTCTACAGGTGTCTCGTACAAACACTAGAAGAGCTGCCTGGGAAGTTTTAATTGCGGTTCTCATGAAGAGTGAGTTGGTGTTTATATCCATGGACTGCTTGACCCAGGGAGTGAAAGTAGGAGGATAGAAAATTATAGACGGCAGTGCTCAGCTAAATGCACGAAGTGGCTTCTCATTCCACTGTCGGCTTCGCTGTTTCTGTGTTAAAAAGCGAGGTGGGGAAAGACGATGTTTCCCAGCGGTGTCAGGGAACGGCCGGTTCCCGTCTGTGCCTCACTAGCCAGGGGCTCCTGGGGGCCCTCCAGCAGGTTCCTGCGCAGGTTTCCTTCCCCTCCACTCCCACCTTAAAAGCATTCCCGTTTCCTTCGGCAATTCCAGCTCACGCGTGAGAAAAGAGGTCTTCCAGCCCCCCGCAGCGCCCCGTGCGGGGACCTGTCTGACCACTAGATGATGCCATTACTCTGCTACGCGGCCGGCCAGCCAAGCCCGGCTCCTGACTCCCCAGCCCTCCCTGTGAGCAACTGAGCTACAGCTCTGGCCGAAACGCCCCAGGCCCCTCATTTCCCCGTCGTAAGGACTGCTTTCTCCTACTTCTGTGGCAGCAGTGGCTGGAGAGGAAGGGGAAGATGCTGTGTAATGAAACAAAGGCACCAGGGGGAATGAACCCTGGAGCAGGTCCCACCTGAACCAGTGAAGATGCACCAGGGATGAGGGTATCTGCTGTCCTGCTGTGTAGTGTCTGGCAGGGGAACGTGAGCGGAGGGACATCGCAAATATGGGAATAAACAATCAATCACATGCGTAAGGGAAGACCTTTGAAAATGGCAATGATTTCTGTGGGCCAAATGGCACAGCTGGTTGCCACTGAACTGGAAAGGAGCATGAGATGTCACCTTGTCTGTCCTCTGGGAAAGTGGAATTGCTCAGCAACTGGGCAGATAGGAGTGCTAATGCTGAAATAAATGAAACAATTGAGAGGAATACATGAATCGCAAGGCAGATTGCACTCATCGCTTCCCAGGGAGATCACAGAACAGCTGGGCAAGACAAGAAGATGTCGGCACATATGGACCCGGCCTTTGTAGCCGCCCAAGGTCAGTGGCTGCTCCTGATGCAGCTGCTGTTGCCTGATAAGGTGTACGAGGGGGGAGCGGAAAGCAGCCGGGCAAAGAAGAGACTCAGGAAAACCCCATCCCCATCCTCCTCCTGCGCCAGTCTGACGCTGAGGCCTGAAGGCTGGACTTGTTATTCCCTGCTCTGGTGTGCAAGAGTGGAGTGTTAGGTGATTTTTAGCGCAGGAAGGAAGGAAACAGATGATTAGACATATCAAAAGAAATGATATGGCAGCGCTGAAGGGATGGGCAGGGTTTCTTGCAGGACAGCAAGGAGCATGTCTAGTAACAACAGTTTAGCTGTATGGCTGGTAGTAGGGCTTAGCTGATTCAGGAGGAAGCATAAATTACATGGATCATTTTACTTTCCTCTACTCACTCTGTATTTGTTCAGCATGGCAGAGATGTGGAAAAGGGCTAGATTACCAAAAAAAAAAAAAAAAAAAGGGAGCGGAGAGATTATTAAACCGTACACGCTGCTGAACTCTTTTGAGAATCTGTCTGCTAACAGCGGTACTGAACTTGCAGTGTTTTCAGGATCTGGCCTTCTGATCAAATGCCGACCATTCATGCTGCATATTCCCTTAAAGTGACAAAGTTTTGTAAAGCAGAGGAAAAAGAAGTACTAGCATTTACCATTAAATTCACAGCTGTTTTAATAGAATATTAATAGAACTTTCAATATGAGCCATGAAAATGGTGTGTAAGTGTGCTAGTGCTTTGAAGGGCAGAAACGTACTAGATTCAGCTGTTTGCCATGGGAAAAGAAGGTGAAGTTCAAGTAATAGCAAATACCATGGGTGCAAGATCACTCTTGCTCTGTGTTAATAACTCATCTGTCTTAATCTGATTCTGTTTGCAACAAACCACTGTGATAAATCTCAGTTCACAGAACTGCCCATCACTACCTCTGTGACTCTTTCCTAGAGAACTGCTTTGCACTGTGAAAATGAATTACTGCCTGCAATTGCATTGTGTAAATTCCTTATTTGTTCAGCCCATTTAGGCGTGCTTTCTTGTAAAATGTCACAGCACACTGTTCCTTCTCACCGAGAAAAATACAACTGTCACACTGTCAAATAACTTTTTTCTTCCACTATCAGAACAAAAAAGCAAAATAAAGGATCAGTTTCAGACCAAGAAAAGTACCCCAGGAAGTAGGCTGGAGGCAATTAATTACTTGTCAGCATCTCCCCCAGATCTGCATAAAGTAGAAAAGGTGCCTGTTTGGCTTTGTTCTGCTCTTTGTATTGCACTACTCCTCTCCTTTCCCAACAGTGTCCATCAGCCTGGCATCTGAATGCCTGCTAGATGTTGGTGCATCAGGCCTGCTCAATCAGGTTCTCCACTGGGATAATTCAGCACGACCCATCTGAAGCTGATGTGTTTTTGTGTCATACTAAATCCATTGCTTTTTGCCCTGCTCTCAGAGAGAGGAGTATTAGTGTGCATTTCTGCCTGTGTGCAAGCTGATGATGGCTGTTAGCGCATGGACGTGCTTTTCATCCAGTCAGTCACACACGGGGCAGATGTGAAAGCCCAGAGGTATACCCAGACAGAGGCACATAATCCTTAAGCACCGAATTAGCCACGTGTGCACGTACATAGGCTTATGTGCAAGAATAGTTGCAGGGATATGAAAGCCACATCTCATGGTCTGACCGTGTATGGACACAGTCCAAATGTCCTCACAGTCGTCTCTAGCAAGACTGCTTTCTTGCTCTTCCTTTCTCAGCTACACGTGCACAGAGATATAAAAGTGCATGGCAGGGAGACAGTCTGCTCTGGAGGATGCTCCTCTAGGTGCTGATGAATTGCACACAGGAGCAGACCCATCAGCCATGGCCCCATCACTTCAGGAAAGACAGAGGCTCACCAGCATTTGGTCGCTTATACCATGTGGCCTTTGACAGGTCGCTTCTCCCCGGAGAGCAGACGCATAATGCAGGAATGCGCAGTTGCTGGAGGGCTCATGTGGTTCTCATCAGCACCCCAACCCTCAGTGGGTGGGACTGCTCTCCCACACATAGCTTTCCAGTGTGTCAGCACCCCTGCATGAAGCCGTAGGCTGGCTCTGCTCATCTTCCTCGGCTGGCTTGCGTTGGTGGAGTTTACAGCAGGTCAGATGCTGTGCCTCCTTGAGTCACATAGTGACAGAGACATTTGCTTACTTGCCAGATTTTCTCTCCCCCGGAGTGTTTTTTAAGTTTCCACTTTGATTTTCTGGCCAGCTTTTCCTTCTCTGCCCTGTTAGGATGACCTGAGTGTGATATCTACCCAATCCCACGTCTGCCTCCTGGCCTGGCATGGAACATGTTGAACTTTAGCTCTCAGAGCCACAGTCTGTCCAGCTAACAGGGCTCTGAACACAAATGTTTGTAGTCCACACTGCCCATAGTAACTCTGTGGTGCTTTGTCTTGCTCGTCTGTTATTGCAGTGAATGCTGTCTAGGCAAAAGATTTTAGAAAACACACCTGCTTTTTTTATTAAAATGTTCCTCCTACTTACGGACTTTTTTGCTACACTCTTATCATTTGTTCTGCTCTTTTAAATAAGATGCAACTAGGATTTTTGTTGTTGAGATTCCCTTTAAAATGATCGGAGAAAGACAGGTTCATTCAGAGAGAAACCGATTTTTAATGGACTGAATCACCTGCTGGACCTCTGCGTGAGTAATGAGGGGAGGTTAACGTGACTAATATGTTAGTATCACCTGGCACCTGCATTCAGGTCGGGCTGAATGTATAGGCATGTTTGTTCATGATGTTGTCGATCCCTGCTAACAGCCACAAGAGATGCACTGGCTTTGCCAGCGCCCAGCGTAGGAAGGGTGGTACTGGTGCACTGAGACGCACCAAACTTTGGATGCTACCAGCAACACTTGGAGGCTGTTATGTGCTCGATAAGAAGGCAGCTTCACATCTGTCCCATGCTAGTAAGGTTCTTCACTGTGGGGATTTATCAGCTGTAAAGCTGGGGCAGCCAAACAGTCAGTGGCTCTCCATTTCCTTTCACAGTCCACACTGAGAAATGAAGACATTTCAACCCTGACACCTTGCTGCGTATCTGCCAGTTTAGCTGGGCCTCTAAATCAGTTTCTTGCACACCAGTGGGCCACAGCTTGGAGAAAATGGGTGGGCACTGAGAAGCAGTAACTGCTGGACCATGCACAGAGGGGTAAACGAGCATGTTGGTGCATGTGAACTCTGAGGGATCAGATCATGTTTGTGGATACACTTCCCAAAGGAGACTTGCATTCAGGTTCCCCATGCTCTCACCTCAATGATATAGTCTTTTCCATCTTTGCTGTGGACAGCTTTGACAGCGCAGATGTCAAGACCTCCAAACATTTCTGCGCAGGCATCTGCCCAGAGTCGGTACCTGCAGAAACCACAGAAGCATGGCCTAGCGTTAGCTGTCACTGCAGCCCACCAAATATAGCCACCCACCCCATTGCCCATAGGAGCACAAATCAGTTCTGGAGCCCTTTTATCACAAGGCATACTCCGTATGCTTTGCTGGGTCATGGCCTCCTTCTCTTGCACAGGAGATGGAGCAAAAAAATAAAGTTTCCCTTCATTTCAGATTGTTTCAATCCTGCCCTCAAAACTACCTTAAAATGTTTCTTTCCTTCCTTGGTATTTACATCAGATCTCCAGTTGTTTGTCATTTAGCCAAGCTATAAATATTTAGCTCATTTAGTCGCCCAGTAGCGGTGCCCCCTTAGCCTTTGTATTGGCTTTGCCTGAAAGTCCTCCATTATGCAGGCAGCTTTCTCCTGGTAAGGTGTCCTGCACGTTGGGGCTGGAATAGGATCGGAAAGTGAGTGCAGAATTTAGCGACGAGTAGCCATCCCCCCCCGATCTGTAACCTAGCGGCTCCTACTTTTTACAATTTGGTCTTTCAATTTCACCCTTTTACGGTCTCCTGCCCCCTTAGCTATCCTGGAGTCAGGGGAGGAGAAGGAATGACAAGAGGCATATATGGGGGGACTGCATCCCCCTGCTGTGGAAATGAGGAGGGAATGAGGTGGCCTGGCTTTATTTCCTGTGCAGCTGTGCCACAGTCCTGAGCATTTAAATAAAAACAATAATCTCAGAACAGCAGAGCTGTAAGCAGGGCTATGACAAGATGTGGAGAGGGGAGGGAAGGCCACAGTCTCATGAAAACACTGACATTTTGCAGACCCCACAGGGACTAGGGAAGGAGCTGTTCTGGCCAAAGAACAAGTTTACGTCCTTGAAGCCAGCCAGAGTCCCCATAGCCTGACAATATAATGATCAACTTGTGCAAACGCAACGTTTGCGGGAAGAAGCAAGAATACAGCTTATATGACTACTGGTGCTCTTTCATCGTTAATGAGGAGACCAAGTGTGTTCACCCCAGCCCCCCTTAAGAAGGCAGCACCTGAGGAGGAGTCAGTAGCATCAGGAGGAGGGGAACTATGGACCCCATGAGCCAGGCAGGAGACATGGTGAGCCCTCCCACGCACTGGTGTGGCCCCACACCCAGCAGCACCATTGTGGGAACCACCTCTCTTCCTGAGGGATGTCTCTAGGTCTCTGGGTTC